TCATTAAATTATTTTCAAATATTTTTTGTTTTTTCTATGAAATTTTAAATGTTTCTTATTTTAGTTTTTGTTAAAAATTAATGAGTTTTTATGTTTAATTGTGAAGTTTGAATGTTATTTAAATAGATAATGAAATAATAAAGTTATGTTTTACGTTTTTTATATAAAAAATAAAGCAATAATAAAAAATCAATTTATTATAGATAATTTAACAAATATAAATTGTTATTAAAAAAATGGGGTCACAAAAAAATTATGAAATATTTGGTGAGCCGCCAGTATGAAAAAGTTAACCGTGAACGTATTTTCTCAGATTTACGGTTGAATGAACTGGTTCTATATTAACCAACTAATTCGATAGACTTGTAAATTCCCTACACTTAAGATTGTTAATAGCGTGTAAATACGTTACATTTAAAGAAAGTGTATCAATCAGTTGTTAAGATTTGCATTCGTTAAAACCTTTTATATTGATGGACCACATGGGGAGAAACGGCTTCCGGGAATCTTTCAAGCTTAAATAAACTTGAGCTTCAATTAACTTCGGGGCCTTAAGGAACACACAAGCAATATATCTAATAGAAATTTGTAGAAGGCTCAATTCTGAAATGAATCAAGTCCAAACGGACTATTTTATGGAGAATAAGTTATTTAGGAATTATTACAGTATGGTATTTTAATTTATCTTAAAAAAAATCAAAATATAGTAATGGGTACCACGTATATACGGTGCAGTGTATAATGCATCATTTCTTGAAACATAAATTGCAGAAAAATTACAAATAACTTAAGCACAATTTAGGTAATAAAAAAATTTAATTTCGATTTGGTTCAGTTTAGAATTAAACCCTTGATACAAATTGTAATAATTTTTAATTGTTGATTTAGACTCGTGTGGACTTCCAACGGAGCTTTGAACTAATTCGTATATTGTCTGTAAGTATGTAATCTATACTGATTATCTGCCTTTTTCTGTAAATTGCTCCCTTTCAGAAATGATAGCTTGAGGCAATTTTATCCATTAACGGTGTTTAGTGCTTTATTCTTTGTAAAAATGTGTAAAACACCTGGTAGTTCGATATCCTTTAGTCTTTTCTCTATAACCACCCTAAGTCTCCTTTCCAAAATAATGTTTTCAAGACGATATTATGGTTGCGTATGTCTTATGAGTAATGGATTTATAATGAATGCAAACAAATTACGAATAAAGCATTTCTTAATTTGTAACAACAGCGGCGGCCTTATCCATTGCGAGGCTCTGGGCGGCAGATCTTTGCGAGGCGCTGGGCGGCAGATCTTTGCGAGGCCCTTGTCCTTTGTGCAAAGTATGTGAATTGAAATAGTAGGCACTTATTAATATTAATATATACTGTACTATAAATTAAATTTATTTTATTGTTATAACTAATAGCCAAGGATAAAATAAAAAGTTTTAAATATCAACTTTTTTCTACTTGGTTGTTGCGCGAGGCCTCTCCAAAAGCGAGGCCCCGGGCGATTGCCCTGCTCGCCACCCCCTAAGGCCGCCACTGTGTAACAATGAACACAAAATACCACAAATGGAGTTCTGTCAGTGGCGCTGTTAGCAGTAGCGGCATAATTTAGAATTAATGCTCGTTCAGGGATTAGATGCTTATACGTTGGCAAAGCACTTCTCTCATACGATAAGGCTGTAGTGTATGTGGGCTGTAGTTAAACAGAGTCTAGCAAAAGAATTCGCATCTACAATGGACGTTTGGAGGAATTTTTCAACATACGGAAAAAGAAGAGGTGAGATTCTATTTTCGTGTTTTAGGGCTATGCGTATTTATTCTAACAGTGGACAATTTAATTCGGGTTTTCGGTCGCAAATTCACCTTCGGTCCAAGTAACGGAGTAACCGATACAGTGGATGTTTTTTTTGCTTATAGCACTTTTTATATGGGTCGCACCCAAAAATTCTGTATGTTTTAGAAATGATTGTCAAACATATCTCTTCTTTAAAAAATTAAGGAACTAAACCTGCAAAGAGTTGCTCAACTTTCCCCGACAGCATTAAAATGTTGGTGGCGTCATCTGTTATCATATTTTATTTAAAAACTTTTTATATTTTTAACTATTATAAAATGGCAAAAAGCTTAATTTTAAGGGTAGGGATGAGTTTTATAAAAATATTGCAAATGTTTATAACGAGTAAAATTTTCATTAAGTCTGACCCCACTCGAGCTACGACGAACGTCCCTCGATCTCTCCATCAAAATTTATTAAAGTCAATCGTCCATATATAGATATATAATCCTGCCAACTTTCACATTTTTTGTTTCATCCAGTCCTGAGTTATAATGAAATATAAATGCAGAAAAAGTGTAAATGATTTGTTTACATTTTTGGGTTACTGGTAGGGTTTCTCAAACGGGATTCCGGGATCCCGGTTGTTTTTTTAACCCGGGAAATATCCCGGGAAATTTTTCTTATTCCGGGAAATCCCGCAAATTTCTTAAAAATTCACTTTTTTTCTTATTTTGTGTTAAGGTTGAGGAGTTTTGCAAATAGAAAGCATAATTAACTCATTCACTGCCAGAATACATTTGTATTTATTAATTTTAAACCTACCTATTAGTTTTTTTAAATTTTTGCTCGTTATAGCATGTCACAAATGGTCAATAATCAATATATAGCTTATTTGTGGCATGACTATAAAAATTCTTTACTTGTCGGAACCTGTAATATCTGGAATAATTGTGCTTACGCTGTC